AAAAAAAAGACTTAGCCGAGCCGAGCCGAGCCAAGCCATAAAACTATTTGGGAAAAAAAAAAAGGGTTTAGCAGAGCCGACCCATATAGTCAATGAGCTTGGCTTAAGCGACTCTTTTATTCAATGTATAGATATAGATATAGGATAGAAAAAAAAAACACGGCTTAGCTAGCCGAATCATAGCCGAATCATATAGCAATTCGACTTGGCTACTTAGCTATAGATATAGGATAGAGTATAGGATTTGAAAGGCAAAAAAAAAAACCAACGGCTTTGCCGAGCCATATAGCAATTCGGCTCGGCGGCGTAGCTATAGATATAGGATAGGGTATATGATATTGGGAAGGAAAAAAAAAAGCACGTTACAAATCCGCCTCTTTTAATATAGGTAGAAGATATGCATATAATTTAAAACTTTCTAGATGTGTTGAATATAAAATTTATTTACACATACAAATATAGGTCTATACGATGCATTTCGCTAATGTGTGTCAAATTTGATCATATTGTCAACTTGACTTGGTACAAATGCACTAATTGGACTTAAGTTGACCTTACGGATTTCTTGCAAAGACGGTTGTATTTCAAAATGATCGAATTTTCTTGCTTTAATGATATTATGTCCAACTAATCTATTTCTAACCCAAAAAAGATAAATTTCGGAATAATTATTTAGAATTGATTACGTCATTGATACAAATAATGTCTAAATATAAAATTTGATTTTTTACACTCCCTACAAAGTGGAGGAAGCTTTTGGAATAGTCAAAGAAAGAACTTGTTCTTTCGACGTAAGAAATTTTTCAATAATTTTGTGATCTTAATAGTTTATTCTCTAGATCTTATATATGCTAAACAAATCAGTCAAAAATGCATGAGAATCATGAAATTTTGGCATTTTTCTATGTTGTCTTCACTAATGACTAGTCTTTAAATGATGAATATTTTTTATGCTCCCTATCATGATAAAAGTTGCCATATGGTCGTCACACATTTGACTAATATGGAAAAATTTGCACTCCAATAAATTAATGTTCTCTACAATGAAATGTTGAAACTTTGAGCAAGATTCCATAGCTATCCCTTTCATTCATTATGCATATTTTCTTCTTTTGCTTTATCCAATAAACCATTAGCGCTTGTTTGATAAATATTTTTGAATTTTGTGATTTTTTATTTTTATTTTGCAAATTTGTGATAAAAAAAAAGTATGAAAAATGTTAAAATGATTTTTTATTTTTTGAAATGAATATGTAGTTGAAAATGGCTGTGGATAAGAAGTAATTCTCAAAAATCAAAATTAAAAAACGGCTTTTTGATTTCTCATCTTATATTAACTTATTTTTTAGATGTCAATGGTAAAATTCAAATATAGTTTGAATAATTTGAGAAATAAAGTATTGAAATCTGTAACATGTTAAATATAATATTTTCGAACAATATGTTGGTTTTACATTTAAACGAAGAAAAATGATTCTTAATACTTGAGCTCCTGATAGGTATAAATAAAAATTATTTTTTTTAATAAACTTTGATAAAAATTGATAAAATATGTGGTTGAAAATGTATGGATCTCATGAAATATATAGTTAAAATTAATCATTGACTTTAATTTAAATTTTAATCCACAGCAAATCGGGATTAAGTGTAGTTGGACGATAAATTCCAACTAATAAATCACCAAAAGTTGTATTAAATTGATACATGGCCCCTTCTCATAAAACAAAATTCTAGCTCCACAATGAGGTCAAATGATAGTGGAGTGGTCTCTATTCGTTAATTACTATTTGTATAACGAAGATTATGGACTAAATTGTTTCTTTTTAAAGTTGGCCTCAAATCTAATATTTATTGAGAGTTTTATACCATCCTTTGAGTTTGTAACAAATCATTTTTATAGTGAATTCTTGGTGCACGTAATCATTATAAAGTCAGATTTTCGAAAGGGTGATTAGTATACCCTATTTTCATAACACGCGAAATGCAAAAGATATATTAACCAAAAGAAAGTTTCTAGTAAAATAAGTAGGGGAGATAACACTCATAATTACCCAAATAGGTATGTAGAACTATTAGAAGTTTATAAAAAAGTCATGGAAGGTTTTCGCTTTTAAAATAGCGTAGAAGGTATTGTAGAGCCACTATATTTGCATCCCCCGACTCATAATTGAAGTGATCTTGTGCAATTTCATCATTAAGTCGATGAGGCTGCCTGCAGTTGCAGAAGTCCCCTTGACTCTCTCTATAAAAAAAAAAGGTTCAGCATCATCCAAGGGTAAGGGCACTCACAAAAATAATAATAATAAAAGGAGGATCAAATACCGTCTAATCTCATCCATAAATGATGTCGATTAGCGATCAACAAATGTTACTTATATGACTACGCCAACACTTCATGAGAAAGCAAAAAGCTTTTTCATTCCAAGGTAAATATGGTCGCAATGCCAAATTTTAAAGAAATTGACTGAAAAAGGGTACTCTCTCTATAAAAAAAAAAAAAAACGTTCAGCATCATCCAAGGGCAAGGGCACTGACAAAAATAATAATAATAAAAGGAGGATCAAATACCGTCTAATCTCATCCATAAATGATGCCGATTAGCGATCAACAAATGTTACTTATATGACTACGCCAACACTTCATGAGAAAGCAAAAAGCTTTTTCATTCCAAGGTAAATATGGTCGCAATGCCAAATTTTAAAGAAATTGACTGAAAAAGGGTACCGGGAGTGGAGCATGGGGCTTAATCTTACTTGGTTCAAACATAGTATCTTTTTCAATATTTATTTATTTATTTATTTTTGTTAATACATGCAAATGGGTTTTGGAACTATAAAAAGTCATAAACTTTTTCCTTTGTGTGCATATGAAATTGAACATGACACCCAAATGTTTCAGGCTAGAAAAGAGGGAACATACGACATGTTATTAAAAAAATGAGAGGACTAAAATGAAATCCTAAAAAGCCTCCAATTTCTTCCTTTCATGGCCCTTAACTTTCTTATCTGTCAATTCTACCCCCAAGAACTACATGAAAGGGTCCAAGTGCAACATAGTATAGTAGTTGGCAGCTTCATCTTCAATCTCCCACAGCCCATCACAGAAGGGTCTATTTTCTTCGGATTTGATTTCTTGGTCGACTCTTTTGGGAATTCCAAGCTCATCATCAGAGGCTTCAAGAAGACGTCTGATCATGACTCTAACACTATCATCATCATCTTCTTCTTCATGTTCTTTAGCATCAATTGCAGAGCTCGCGGAGGTGGTGGTGGTTTGGTCATGGTCCAGCCCAGCTTCCTCCACCGTGCACGGAGGAGAGGGGAATGAAGAAGAGAGCTCTTGCTGTAGGGTTGTGAAAATTGCTGAAAAGTCTTGGTTTGGCTCTTCTTCTTCTTCTTCATCAAGAATGGAGAGTATATTGTTGTATGATTTGTGGCGCTTGTCATCAAAGTCAGAGGTTGCTGCTTCATGTTCATGGGATTCTTCTCTCTGGCGCTTAAGTTGTGTTTCGGCCATTGTGGAAGAAACTAAACAGAAATAGAGAAGGGGAGAGGGAGATGGGGAGAGAAAGAGAGTGCGCGCGGAGAGAAAAGAAAAGAGGAAAGGTTTATATAGAGGGAGGGGACAAGTAAAGATCCAATCATAATGAGTCCGGGGGCAACGTGTTGGATTTTGTAAACAATAAAAAAGAAGAGAGAGATAGAAATCAATACAAGTGCTTAACGTGGTTCGATAATGTGCCTATGTCCACAAGAAGCGAAGCGAAAATATTTTATTCAGTATAAATAATAAGATTATATTATCAATATATACACTAACCCTAGCCATGATTCATACAAGACTTTAGGACCTGTACAAGAAAATACCATGTATCATATCGCGAGACAATGACATTTTCTTCCAATAAACCCGTGTTACACTCTATATGAGCCACATACACAATACATCACTTTAAAAATGGTCGTGGCAATTGGCAAACGATCAAAAGTTAAAGAGTCGAATTAGGGTCGATTGAGTAGTAAACCTATCAATTCTTTTCTTTTCTTTTAAATGATTTTCATTTTCATTTTATTTTTTTGGTTTTTAATGTATAGTTAGATATCTTTCCAAAAATATGTTTTAGTTTTCTCAATGAACAACTGGTCAATACGGTTCGATTTACTAAACATTAGTTCGTCGAAGAAGTTCGAGAGAGAAGCATGAATATTTATTTTGAGCAAAGAAAAATTAAGGCACTAATCCAATTCTATTCTTTGACTAGCAAGTTAGTTTTCAACTTTTTATTATAATTCTACAATCAGTTTTCAACTACACCAAATTGCTACAAATTTTGTTACCACCAACAAATAGAGTTATGAAGTAGTGGTTACATAATAGTTAGAAATTAATGAAGTATCTAAAAATGAATTTTTGATAAAATGAGACTCAAAATATAATGAGTATATATAAATTAGTGGTTACATAATATTTAGCAATTCACATTTTATCAAAATCTGTTAAAAATCTTATTTTAATCCCCTCGGAACGGGGCTAAATAATATTCTTCTTCGAGTATATCTAAGAATAAAATAATAAATGTGTGCCTATTTATGCTAATGTTTATAAATGATTAATCATTTATCAGATCACTTTTTATTCATATTTTATGAAATTTACAAGTACTATTCATTTTTATTTATTTATAATTTAAATTATTTATAAACACTTCTGTACTCAAAATATACGCCAAAAATCTCAAGTTTTTGAGAATATTCAACCTATAAAACAAAACGTAGGAATTCTATACTCTCTACGGGTCTTCGACTTCGATGCTATTAGTACTCGATTATACAGTAATCAAGTTTCACTTACTAGCAAGTTGATTTTTTCAAAAAACATATTTTTAATTTTTAAAAATATATTGTGTTTCTTTCTAGTTTATGCTTTTGTTATTTTATGTTTTAGGAAAGAGTTTTTTTTTTTCATTTTTCTTTAATATAAGAAAATAAGACATTAATTTGCTTACTTAACAAAGTTATATGAAATTGAAATGTATTAAGAAGTGAAATAATTTGATTTGCATAGATAATATTTATTCTCATGAAGGTACGTTTGAGCCACATTATTTTGAAAGAATGTATTTTGAAATAGTAGATTGATGGAAAATGTGTGGTTGAAAATGAGTAGAAATTTGAGAATGAAGATTTTAATGTGGCTCAAATAGGGGCTGCCACCTTAATTTCAAGCAATATGAAAATAGTAGTATCGTCTATTAATGCCTCTATTGAATCGATTACTTTTGAGAGTAATCAATGAGATATATTGCAAATACATGTATCTATCTATTCAAAACTTATTTTTATTGAAAGAATAAGCTAGCTAATTAGATGATATTAATCATTTTCGGGGGATGAATTTCAATTATGGGACAAACAATCCTAGCCCCTGTGTGGTTCAACTAAAAAAATTGAATTAAAATCTAAATCAAAGTCCACGATTAATTTTAATGATACATTTTATAAAATTCACAACTTTTCAATCATATATTACATCAATTTTCATCAAAATCTATTAAAAATCTAATTTTTATCTAAATCAAACAGTGATTTATTACAAGTTAAAAAGGTTGTACAACCATGGCAATGTGATAATGACCAAGGGATAATATAGCATAGGCCCATATGTGGTGCCATGCACATGGTGAGCAGACCTAATTTCCATTTATTAGTGCCCACAAGTAAAAGAATATTGTACAAATTTTTGGGTTATAGGGGTGACAACTATCTAGTGCTATCAAGAAGTATTATTGGCTTAATAATTGTGTTGCCCACAATATTATTAGGTTTACAAAAAATAAAGTTGATTTAAGTTCATGTATGGACAAGGAATGAAAATTATGCTACATGTTTTGCATTATGCCTAATGTTTCAATTATTAGGCAAAGGGACCAGTTCATGCCATGTTTGTGTGACCTTTTAGCTACTATATATGAAAGCACTATCATGAGTGGGGGGAGACGAGGAGGGAGATGGGTAAGTTGTCGATTTTGGTTGATTATGGCATGTTCGATGTGTTAGAGTGGACACGTATCGCTGAACATTCTTGAATTCTAGAAGACTCAATTAGAACTGTAAACAAATGAGATATACACATTCGACTTGTATGTATTAAACATATAGCTAGAGTTTCATCTAAACAATTTAGGTTCCATAAACAACATTAGATATTGGAGGAGACAAGTTCCATGTTTTACATCAATTGGTTACTTCTTTTTGTTCATCTCGAATTAGCAATACCATACATGACTTGATCAAAATAAATTTAAAAACCTTCCTAAAAACCTAAGAGAACGAGATGAAAATCGTTCTATTGAAAGAGAAGAAAGAGGGTGAGTTGTAATGCCCCCATGAGAGCCTGTACAGTTTCTTGCCCGTGGTAGATAGAACAACATTAAGTTGTCGATATATTGATTTTTACAACCTTTGCATGAATTTTTTTGAGTTACATTTCTTTTTTAATTGTAGAGTTATGTTTGTCCGTCGTAATATAATGCATCCATTACAATTTATTTATTTTTCTTGCATTGAGTGTCGTGAAATATTGGGACAAGTCACCAAGAGTCTGTTCGTCTACCATTATTGTGATGAAAATTGTGTAATGAATAGTATTTTTTGGAAAATGTGTGGTTAAAATTGAAAGAAATTTTATCGGTTTATGTGTAGAATATTTTATTATTTGAATGTGTGATGGAAATTGATTACTATAGAAAACAATGTATTGAAAAATGGTAGACAAACAGGGGCTAAGTCTTTCAATATTTGAATCTCAATTGTGAGAACAAAGTAGCTTAGTTAAGTGAATCGACACCCTCAATAAAAGATTTTAGGATTTTGCTATTTGTGCGTCAAAATGATACATAAATATTTACCAAAAATAAAGTGGAGAGAAAATATTGGATGAAAATGTCAATTATATTTAAACGGTCAAATTGTAAAGTCTCATGCAGCATTAGAAATGATTACTAATATACCATGGTTTTCTTGTGTTCAAGTTGATAGAAAAAGTGTGCAAATCATAATGAGAATAAGTCATCGAAATTGATTAATTTATGAAGATTATTGGAGAAGGATGTCATTTTCATAAATATATCGGTCGTACTTTAAAGAATTAATTAAGTCAAAATTAGAATGAAGAACTCCGACTTGAAAATACAAGATGAATTAGCATTCTACTATTGATAATGTTACGAGCATGGGTCAGACCCGTCACTTCACCCTCCACGTGTCATCAGAGATGGCCCATTTCATGCCACGTGTCGATCGAGGAAATTGCCCCATGGAAGGAGCTGACTACATATGTCGAAGTGATCTCACTAGGACTAACTGAATAGGCGTCAGCAAACAAAAGGATTCATCAGCAAGAACACCGCGGATGCAAAGGCCCGCACTCCGCTTTTACAACGCCTCGCCTGCCTCGTCTCACTTAGTCAAAGATCTCTTGTGTAAAGATATTTCCAGTCAAATCACAGACCGATGGGACGTGTGGCAGGACCTTAACGGTCAAATCAGCTGCTTCTGTCAGGAGCATTCAATGCCAGCCAACCTGCGAAGGGCCAAATTGACACCTAGGATGGGACGAGCCCGAAGGATCTGGCAACACGTGTCTCCTCATCCGACTCCCCATCCTTGGTATAAATACCACCTCCTTATGTATGAAGAAGGATTGTAATCCAATACAAGCAAAATTACCACTATATTGTGAAATTAAGTATTCCTTTCCCTTGAACATTATCATTTTTCGACATACACTTTGTCAACCACTTCCCGGTAAACTATTTTTCGATTGAACTTTAAACTGACTTGACCATTGGAGTGCTTGCGGTCGCTCTCAACCTCTCCAGGTGACTAACAACGTGCTACGTGTGCAGGAAGAGCTGACTTTAAGACATCTTCTGTGGACCACGTGTCGGAACCATTTTTCGAGGTCAATAGATAATATGAATTGCCTCAAAAGTCATTCTCTAAGTTTAGTCATTGTTTGGTTTAAGTCGATAAAAATTTAAGTCAAAATTAACAATTAATTTTAATCATATTTCATAAAAATCATAAGTTTTCTCAACTTCTCAACTACTCATTTTCATCATTTTTTCAAAATTTATTAAAATTCTAATTTTTAGCTAAATCAAACAAGGATTAAATTTTTTGGAGTTCGGAGCTATTTTTGGTACATCCCTCTTTTCCTCGCCTTTCATTTCCTTTCCTCTACTTATCCAAAAATAAAAATTAGGATTCATTTACTTCCTCTCTTTAATTTAAAAGAACAGTTCACAAATACCCTATAAAAGGATTGTTTGATAAAGTTTTTAATTAACACGTTTTTACTTTTTATAAAAGATGATGAAGTGATGAAATACATACTTGAAAAATTGATAAAAGTTGTAAATCTCATCAAATATGTGGTAAGAGCATCTTAAAGTGAATTTATATTTTTAAAGCATATATTCTACAATTTAGAGAAATCTAAAAATTTAAAAGGTAAAAAACATTAAGTAGTCTAATGGGTTCTTTATATTTAAAACTCAGCCTCCGTTTGAGCCCCATTTTTTCAATATTGTATTTTTTTTAAATTCATTTTCAATCACATATTCTCTTATAAAATAACTAAACACGTATTTCAAAAACATTTCCTTACTTTAACACACATTTTCCAAAAACTCACTATTTCATAATACATTTTACCTCCAAAATGGGGATCAAACAATGGCTTTATTTTATTACTCCGAAAAAATATTTATTGTGTTTTTCTATCTTTTATTTTCACTAACTTCTCTCCAAATTATTATATTATTTTTAATTAAAAATTAAAATACTTTGAATACATTTAATTATAGAGATTGAGTTTAGATCTCCAAATTTGAAGTGTTTTAACTCACATTTTAAATTAAAATATTAATTTAAAAAGTCCCTTGAAGTATAAAAATTAATCGTGAACTTTAACCTAAAATTTTAAACTTTTTCAATCAAGCATTAATTTTTTTATTCTCAATATATATATATTAATTATTCTATTTATTTTGACCTTGTTTGATGTACATTTTCAAGGAAGAAATATATTTTAAATAGTGATAGAGAGAGAGAGAGGAGTTTCAGTTCAAATTATTATATTATTTTTAATTAAAAATTAAAATACTTTGAATACATTTAATATTTAATTATAGAGATTGAGTTTAGATCTCCAAATTTGAAGTGTTTTAACTCACTTTTTAAATTAAAATATTAATTTAAAAAGTCCCTTGAAGTATAAAAATTAATCGTGAACTTTAACCTAAAACTTTAAACTTTTTCAATCAAGCATTAATTTTTTTATTCTCAATATATATATATTAATTATTCTATTTATTTTGACCTTGTTTGATGTACATTTTCAAGGAAGAAATATATTTTAAATAGTGATATAATGAAAAATATGCGATTAAAAAAGAAAGAAAAGTTTTGAATTTTTGTATAACATTATTTTCTTGAAGAAGGAAAAGTTTTGGTAGCTCTTCAAATTTGACGAGTTCAACTGACTTTTTAAATTAAAATATTAATTTAAAGAATCCTTTGAAGTATAAAAATTAATCGTGAACTTTAACCTAAAATTTTAAACTTTTTCAAATATTCTCAAAATAATATTTTTTTTACTATTCTTTTTATTTTGCCCATGTTTGATGCACATTCTTAAAGAAGAAATATATTTTAAATAGTAATCTGATGGAAAATATGCGGTTAAAAAAGAACGAAAAGTTTGCTTGTAATACTATTTTATTGAATAATTAAAAATTTTGAATTTGTGTATAATATTATTTTATTGAAGATTGTATTGTTAAAAATGAGTATTGACAGAATGCATTTTTTGAAGTTCGTGGATCAAACAGAGTATTTATTTATTAACAATAAATTTGTTAACACAATGTTGTTTCACTTTGTAAAATGTTACACATACTTCACCCACTATAAACCATCACGAAAACCACCGCCATTGCAACCATCTACGCCTTTCGAACAAAAACAAAATTGGACAAGAAAATTCAAGCGGTTTCAAATCTGATTTCAAGATTCAGATCCAATTTTAAAGAAAAAAATATTTGAAATCGAATTCGCCACCGTCGTCAAAAGTGGTGCTAAAACCAAACACTTGGAATTCAGATCAATTGCGGAAATCGTCATCGTACATCTCACCACCTTGCTCAAAATTGCACGAATCTTCAATATCTGAATTTGATGGTGAAGCCGTGAAGGTGAGGGGAAGGGGGCAGCTGAGTGTTGTAGAAGATAAAAGATGGCGGCAATAATGGTTGTGAGTGTTGGTGATCGATGGTAGTCGAGGGTAGCAGTGGCGGTGAGGGTGGGTTGTGGCTGTGTTTGTGTGTGTGTAATTAAAAGAAAATGTCAGTACATATGAAATATAAAAGAAATAATTGTGGAAATTCAAGTGTAAACAGGGTGGATGGTTGAAGTTGGCCCAGGACATAGTTCGATTCAGAGTGAATCAGAATTTCTGGATATATAGTAAAGCGGAATTCGTCGGATGCAAATTTAATTATGGAACTGAATCGATTGAGTTAGGTGCCGTTCCATTCAGTACCACAACTAATTTTTGTAACATTTACAAAAATACTATATTAATCAAATCAATGATATATTCCGTCTTAACTCTTATAAAATAACATAGTCTAATTTAAAAATATTCAAATAAAAAATTGTCTAATAAGATCCATTCACCAACGTATACAAATAAGTAAATAATAATGCTAAAACATCGGTGGTCTAGTCGTGACTTGAGAAAAGGGAGTGACTGAAAATGAGGGCAACGGCTAAAACCTAAACGAGCATTAGGTAAATTGTGAAGTGAAATTAGGCTTCAACTAAAATTTGTAGTAAAAAAATTTATTTTGGGATCAAGCTGAGCTTGGACTTGGGAGTTGGAGCATTGAATACTTCCAGTTAATCTCTTAATTAGTTAATTGACTAGTTTATTTAGAAAAAATTAAAATAATGTAGTTTATTCAATATAAAAAAAAAAAATTAAGGAGCTATTTAATTCTTCAGTTATTTGTCTATCACCGAAAACCAAATCAAATTCGTCGGTTCTCGATTTTAGTACCCATTCGGATATTTAACCTAAAAAGAATCAAACCAAACTGTTCTGCTCGATTCGGGTCTGATTAGGTTTAAAAATTTTGTCCAGCCCTAGTTGAAGTTTTCGTACGCAAATTGGGCCCATCTTAAAGACCTGTTAGCGTCTGCTGTTTATGCCAACCAATTTTCAATTGTTAGGAGAATATTAAGCCCGCCCAAATAGAGAGCATCTAACCTGTTATGCAGGGCACAAATAAATCATCTACGAGAACATGTATATGTCGTCTTTGACGAAAATAAGACAAATGGCGACATATTCGTTCTAATGATACAGCATACAGAGAACATTCATCACAGTACAAAGTAAGAAATTCATAATGTTTTAAGTCATTTCCAGGTTACAATCACAGAACATATCTTTCGAGCTACAAAGTGCATCACAATGTCCATTCGAACATATAAAAAATGCGCTCTGAATCAAGAATCAAGCAATAAGTTCTTCAAAACCTCACTTCCCTTTCATAGAATTCAGAAACTTCAACCAGTTTGTGTCAATTGTACTAGCATTAATAAATAAGTTAAGATTTATCACACGTTTTAGAACGCAAAGAAGAATCATGAATCTAGCTAAAAATGTCAACAGACGATACATACAAACAGGTACCACAGTTGACCAGAGTGGATGGTCCGACAGGGAACTGATGAACCAGATTCGAATACTTTACTATCACATAATAATCAAATAGCTATCTTTTTTTATGATAACTGTGGATGTCTGGGCCAGCACCTCGACTAATTCCACGAGTTAATAATCAAATAGCTATCTTATAATCCTCTTGATAAATATATGGGGAAAAAATGGTTTGTGAAAATCAAAATACACAAGTTATTAGAAGATGTTCAACACAAGTAAAATGAAGATAACATAGCATTATGGACGCTATCAAAATCAACAATATACAGATAATTTGTAATTCAAAACTAAAGAAAATTTCCCCACTTTTGAAACAAATTATTCTATTAATAAAATAGGTTTAGATATCAAAAATGAATTTGACTGACAAAATTATGAGAGTAAGTTTGAACTTTCCATTTTATATATCGAAGAAAAAACTTCACAAAAAAGGTAGTTTACATCATTCAAAGGGTCAAATAATAGCGACTTGGTGCCTTGACCTATTTAAGAATCAGAATAAAACATTATAGAAATATGCAAGAGCATCCATTCAAATTAGCCAAAGGAAAACATAAACGTCGGGATAAAAGAAAACAAGAACCTGCTATAAAACTACAAAGAGTAACCGAAGAAAAAAGATCACTTTATAGCCGATGCTCCCAGTAAACATGTTCATGCCTTATTGTTTTCCCTTTCATACAATTCCAAGAAAATCAAGAACTTGAAAAATCGAATCACTGAATTCTACGAGATAACCTTCACGAGACACCAACGAAAACCTATAAATGTATTCCTCCTAGAAGTTATTCGAACATTTTTTCTGTGCAAATGTCAATTTTGATACTTTCTCATGTTACTTTAAACAATCATGCTACATGTACATCATTTTTTAATTGTGCCACGTTGCGACACATGATTGGACAGTTTTGAAAACACACACTTTCCTGCCCAATACTTTTTGAACTCCAATGGAGTGTACACAAATATGTCAACAAAATGATGTACACCTAGCATTATTCTACTTTAAAGGGAGAAGGCAATTTAAAAAGAGAATTTTGATTTAGTTTTAAAAAGATGTACCCAAGACTACCTCAAAGAGAACAATCAATTGAATCTTGAGTAAAATATAATCCTTCCAATCCTCCTCCAAGTGAAAGAGAAAAAAAGTTGAAAATGAGAACTTGCAAGAAATTACCCATTAGTAATAATCAGGTGCATCCGGGATTCAATCCATCAGAGAGGGAGGCACCCGATCTGAATGGTACAGACTGCACCAAAACACAAATGATCAGCATCCCATCACAGCACAATTGTAAACAAAACTGCCAGATTGCTTTCGGCCGAGCAAAACCCATTGTGGTGGGCCATCACTTGGAACCCATGAATTGACTTCGATATATCCTTGACCAACAGTCCGAGGCCCTCCAATTACAATAAGCCTATCGCCACATGCCCTAAATGCCAAACCCCAACCATTCATAGAATCAGCGCGTTCTGGCAATCTTCCTACGGTAGTCCACACTTTATTATTCTTGTCATATTTTCTCAGTGCCATGTCAGCATAGTCAGCAGCATACAATTCATTATTTACAACAGCAATCAATGGCGGTGCTTCGGATGTAGCAGGAAGATTGGATTCCCTGGCCACATCAGTCCGCACTGGGGACATGTTAGGTATTTCAGTCCAAGTTTCGGTTTCCAAATTATATTCCTCTCCACATGTGAGAAGCTTCGACTCTGTTCCTCCAATTCCTCCAATCACATAAAACTTTCCATCCATGAACACCCCAGAACACATCTTCCTCGGTTTCTTCATGCTTGGAAGTGTCTTCCAAATTCCCAACTCAGAATCATAGAGCTCTGCAGAACTGAGGATGGTGCCACGTGAGTTGCAACCACCAGCTAAAATTGCGATCTCCCTGAGGCTGGCAGATCCAAACAAACATCTAGGCTCTTTCATGTTTGTTCCCGACGACCACGTGTTGGTCAACAAACTATACCGGTAAGTGATATGAGACATGAGATCCCGCCCGAAAACAAGAAGCTCAGTGCCAACA